CCGAGGACCCTGCGGCTCCACGGCAGCGGCAGGGAAACCTGGGCTTCGGGGACCTCCCTGGTCCGAGGGGCGTCCTGCCATGCCCCTTCGGAGCAACCTAGAGTCTCCAGTCTTCCCACCCTGAAAGCATTTCTTGTCTCCATGTAGCTGTTCCCAGCTTCCACCCCCTGCCCCCGGCATCGCAGCCTTCCTTGCTCGGCAGTCACCGCACCTCTGCTGTCAGAGCCACTGATCCGCCATCCTGCCTAAGCCTGATTTTTAATCTAAGCCTAACTTCTAGCAGCGGCTTCAGCAGGGTCTAGTTAGGAAAACTTAAGGAACGGCACAGAACAGCCTTTCCCTTCTATTTCTCACGTACGACGTGCATGTTATCGAATTTAAGAAACGCAGCCTCTTTATGTTTAACCCGACGGCGTAACTCGGACCTTCCAGCATTTCTCCTTCAGCAGACTCCTCCGGAGAGGCCCCCGGGACCACGCGTGTCCCAGGTGATGTTGGAGAAACTGGTACAGGGCGCTCGGCAAGGATGTCTTTGCTTACTCCTTTTTTTTCCCCCCTTTTTCTGAGTTAAACTTTTATTATTGTGTACTTGAAAATGTGCTCATCTGCCAATGACAGCTCATCTGTGATCTCAGCTCAGTTTGAAATTAGGCATCGAGATGCATAAAGGAAGATATATAAAGAAACGTGAAGACAGATAGAACAGGCGATGTCAGCTAGAGATACAACTTATCAGGGTAATTTCACGTCGTACATCACAACCTGAAGGTTTGCAACGCGAATAATACCAGGCAGATGTCCAGAAATTTGGTTCCTTCGCTTGGAAGTCAACTGTGGATCTCAGTGTAAACCGTGCATTGTTTTTTTCCTTTTTCCCGGTGACTCTTAAGTGCATTATTCCAAGATTAAGCCCGACATTTGTCTGTCTGAAGGCTGGTTTCTTCCAAAGGAGACGAGCTCTAGGGGTCCTGCAGGAGAGGCGAACGCGGGGACCGCAGTCCGGCTCCACATGCTCATAGAAACCTGACAGCGCTGAGCTGGGCCACGTATTCTATTAGTCACCGCTCAGAACAAAGGAATTCTTCAGATATATTGAATATTAAACTTTTCCTGAAAGACTTTGAAGACAAATTAATGCGGTAGGCCTGGAAAACAGACAGGGAGAGCCTCAAGGATGGGCAGCAGTGTGCAAAGCTCCCTTCTGCAGGGAGGAGGGAGCTTTGCTGGGGAAGGGATGCTCCAAGGGCAACAGAGCAAAGGTTTGTAACACGGGGAAGGCAAGCTCCCAGCATTACTCGTTGCTCTCCCCGTATAAAAACTGAAAGCCAACCATTCAAAGAACCAAAACCCAGGTTTTTTTCCCCAGTAGCGTCCAGTCAGATGGGAAAACTCATTGCTTTAAGGTATGCAAAGACCAAATACCTATGTAGATTTAAAAAGAACAGGGCAAATTCATGGAGAAGAACATCCATCGGTGGCTACTGAAGACCAGTCCCAAGACACGAGCCCAGCTTGGGAAGGCTCTGAGCTGCGGCTGCAAACCCCAAGGAAGAGGCGGAGGCGGGAGGAAGGCACGCATGGGCACGTCGGGCTGAGGCTCCTTCCCAGCCGCCGGCCGCCCCCCGCCTCCAGCGCTCCTGGGGTTGGATTCTCAGGGGCAGAGGAGAAAAAGGGCAAAGGAAGGT